CTGGCTTCTTGGTGACGACGCTTCAGCTGATAAAATGTTTGACGAAATTAGAAAAGTTCCAAAGGTATTGCGTGAATCGAAAGACCCATTAGCACGAACAGCTGTTACGGTTTTCTGCGCCAAGAAATTACTTGCGTAAGTAACAAAAAAATTTATTATTCTTTTTGCTAGCGACTTTTGACAATTTAGATGAAGAATTGCAAATTACTTAAATCAAAAACAATTTGAAAATCAAAATATTTTCTTTTCAGAAATTGTTTTTAAATTGAAAATGAAAAAAAAAATCGTTAAAAATGAATAAAAATAAACAATTCTTTCTTTTAACCATTGACCATTTTTCTCTCTCTATAATTCACAGTATGAAACAAAAACAAAGCGAACAGAAGATTTGGAGCTTGTGTAATTGTGCCAGCAAAATGTTTGCCGAGTCTTTGGTTTACAACAAAACAACCAAAAACGATATGATTCTGGTAAGAATATTACTTTTACTATTCAATTTTCGACCGAGCGTTTGATTCTTTCAAACACTTAAGAATTCAAATATTAAAATTTGAAATGGTTTTTTTTTTAAAAGAATTCCAGGCTTACTTTTTCTAATGTTGAAGAAAAATATCACCAAATAAATAATCAAACTGTTTCTTCAATTCATTCCAGTTCATTCATTTGCTATTTTGCGATTGGTTACTCGAGACACGAACAAGCTGCTGGGAAATGGAACAAAATTCTAAAGCTTGCGCTGATGACGATAACAACAATCAAGTGCTGACTGCACAGCCATTGCCAAGTAGACAACTCGAACAATTCCAAGCGGATTTGAATTCGTTGCATTGCATCATTGATTACATACCGGTAATTGCTCTTTTTCAATGTAATGATACATACTTCACTATTCAATCTACAGATATAAATTGTTCAAATTTAGTTTTTTGATAATTACCAAATGATACTGTAAGAGTTAAAATTGTAATGAATATCCCAATTCAATTTCAGACGGCAAAATCGCGAGTTTATTTGTATGAAGCCGTATCGCGATTGATGGCTGGCGCGGCACCCGGGCACACTCAGGAGCTGCTTGATCGCAGTTTTCATGAACAATATCGCCGAAATAACCGTTCCACCTTCCACTGTGGCAGTGGCAGCAAAGAGACCCAGAACAACAACACCAGTGAAACGGTGAACAGAAGACGGTGTGGTCAAAATGCATCAGCAGCTGT